GAGGCACCTGTGGCACCAACAACTTAGGTACTTCATGCACATCTCTACTTGGAATATGTTTGAAAATAATGTAAACTACATTAAATACCCTTAATTATTTTTTCTTGTCAAATATTTCCGTTCAAGTACTTTTAGACTCGTATATATAAATCAAATATGTTGAATCATATCACACTAAATTTCTGGACTTTTTTGGAAACACTTTCATGGGAAAAAAAATCCAGAAAAGCTACCAATTCCCCCGCTCTTCAAGAAAACCCATGTCATTGATCCTGTTTATCATTGCTTTTCTATGTAGGTAATGTGTAATTCCTGGATGGCTGTTGTAATGGCAGGCTCTTCTCCAGCCTGGTTTTTATAGATTAGTTTGCTCAGGATTTTTGTTTCTTGCTGTCCTGGTTTTGTTTTCAGGCTCTGGTATGGAGTATTTTTCCTCTGTGGGGGATCTTTGCAGTGACAGTGAAGTTGTGGGCAGCTTGCAGACGCTGATAGCAGAATGTGTCCATGGGAGGAACTATTGCCGACAGATGCTGTGCTTGTATGAATTGTCTAAGGTATGTATGTGTTTGATACTGGATGAGGGCGGAATAATGAAGGCAGAGGAGCTTCATCAAGGATCTTCCCTGCCTGGGGAGGCTCTGACAGGTGACAGGCTTCTTTCTTTCCTGTGTAACCAATGGAAAGCATCCTCCTTTTTTGTGATGTTCTGCAGGAGATAGGCTGTTCCTTCAGTGAGATCTCTGCACATGATTCTGAACAGTTGCTCCAGATGATCCTGTCATCTCAGCAGCCAGACAGGTGCAAAAAGGCCCAGGCCTTCATCAACACTCAAGGACTGGATCCAGAGATAGTGGCAGAACTTGTGGCAGATGAAATCACACAAGAGCTGTTGACACCTTTACAAGGAAAGAATCTTGGAATCTTGCTTTCATTTTATGAGTCTGTTCAGCTCCACACAGTTTATTACTCATAGATATTTGTTTGCTTGCATTGTGTTTTTTATGCAGTCTAGAAATACTTCTTTTGACTCTGTATTAGACTTTGTAATTTGACTCTGCAGTCAAGACTCTGCTTATGACTTGAGTTTGAACTCAAGGGGCTCAGGTTGCCAGCTCCAGGTTGACTCAGCTTTCCAGCCTTCTGAGGTTGGTAAATTGAGTTGGTAAATTGAGTACCCAGCTCACTGGAAGGGGGGGGGAATAAGTAGCCTGCATAATTAAAAAGTAAACCACCCAGGAGTGCTTTACTGTAAGTGCTGTGGAGTGTATAAGCAGCACTTTTTAAAAAGTTAATATTTAGTCTTCAATCCACTATGACAAACAGCCCAAGTTCTTTTGAATACTACTACTACTGTATAATGAGTGTGTAATTTAAATTGCTTCCTTTCACTGACAGAACTTGTGAAAGGAAGCAACAGACGTCAGATAATATGAGGGGAAAGGTCCTAGAATAGGTGAGATACATGTGAGAAAATGTTGCATTGCCTTCCTCTGTAATTACCCTGGAGCAATTCTTTGAGTAGGATGTCATTTACTTGTTTATGTTTATTTGTATGTGCAGGGCACAAGCATATCCTGAATCCAGCAGAAGAAAGAAATGTGTTTCTGCAGCTGGCCAAACTCTGCCATGATCACACTCTGGTTGGCATGAAGTTATTGGATAAAATTTCAACTATACCACACGGGGAACTTGCATGCAGTAAGTGAATGGTTGTTATAGGTCATTGTTTTTCATTGAACCCATTACCGTCGACTCATTAATGTCAGCAATGAGTACTTGATTTAGTGATGGAAGCTGTCATCCAAACTATATTCACTAGAGCACAATTCTCATCTGAATCTGTGGCGCTTTCCTTCCCAAGTAAATATGGACACGACTAGACCGCAAGAATGTCTTACTGCCTTTCTGCTTGTTTTCTTTTTGTGGTCCCTATGTGGAAATTGTGTCACCATGACCAGGAAACTGGAAGTGTGTTCATGGGGACTTGCAGTTCTCTATGGAAATTCATCTTTGGAACAGCTTGAGTTTATCACTAAAGTACTTTAATAATGTGTAAATATTTCCAGGAGGAAAAGAGGCATTTTCTACATAGGTGGGTCAGTGCTGGCAATTAGGCTTCTCCCTGAGAAAGTGTGGACTTTCTTTCCTCCCAAAGCATTTGCCCTCACAGTTTCTGTGAGAATGCTTGTTGCTGTTCCCATTTACTGACTGCCACACCATCCATGGCAAAGGAAAGAACAGAACCTGGATATCCTAGATATAAAATCCAGCTCTCTGGATGTTGCATCATACTATTAGCTTCATTTTATAGGATCTATAAGCAAAGTGTTTTGATAGTAGTCTCTTCTCCATCCTTAGCTACAGAGCTTCTGATATTAGCCCATAACTGTTTTAGTTTGACTTGTCACATGGAAGGGATTACTCGTGTCCTCCAAGCTGCCCGGCTGCTCACAGATGAACACTTAGCACCCAGTGGAGAATATGGTCTTGTGGTAAGTAGTTGCCCCAAATTTCACCCTCCTTCTGCCTGGGTTCTACTAATTCCAAAACGCTACCTTACTCACAACGCTGAAGGGATCTAGGCAGGTATTCCATGACATAAATATTACTCTGATACGGCGTTTGCTTATTCTTAGTATTATGTTACATGCAGCTTTTGTTACTGCAAGAAGCAGCCACACAAAATGCAGGTTAATTTGGCAAAAAAGTGGCTGTGAGCACCTTTCCCTGTACTTGAGAGGGCACCTGCTTTTGTTTTCTCCTGGCCATTGATTAATGTTTTCCATTTCTTGGTCCCCAAGTTCATGCAACTCTTTCCCTCCATTTTTAGAGCTTTATTTATTTCATTTACAAATATATACAATTTCATTTTAAAAGATATATACAATATATAACAAACTAACAATGTCACAACATAAGAATGTTTATAAAGAATATATAGAATATTTATAAACTCAACAAGCAGGAAAACCAACACCTCTACATGCTATAATTATGAGCATTGTATTAGTTCAGTAGATATTTCTGTAAGTCCACATGATTTCATGGTGGCCGTGACACTATGACACTATGACAGTCATGGTGGAATAAGTGATACCTTTTTATAGGCCACTGATAACAAATATAAAATCATACAATATGTGAGTTTTCGTGAGTAAATCCTACTTCTTCAAAGCAAGTACCGAGAATCCAAACATTCGTGGCAAGATGGGGTTTGCCAGGAGGTTACTCTTCGATGTAAAATTCTTGGCAAGATGAATTTCATAGGACACATTTGTCTTAGGTGAGACAGGAAGCAGTAAGGTTGTTGTTTTAACATTACAGCTGATGCAGCTGTGGGTTGAAGTTCACACTCAGCTCTTCAGACAAAGGGGCACAGGCCATACTCACACACATACACCTCCTATTCATTTGGCCCTTCTTCAAAACAGACTTGTTTCTGCTTATTGTGTGGTGCTCTTGCTCTCAAATGAGAGATCTATCAGTGTCTGTTTGAACCCCAGCTGGAATTCAAGGCAATACTGACCAGCAGCACTCCATAGAACCCAATTCACTCTCATGTGAAAGAGGTCTGTTGCAATGATACTGCTACCCCCACCCCAAAGTTTGAAGCCTGCCCTGATGCAGAGACTGTTCTTTCCACAGGTCCGACTTCTCACTGGTATTGGCAGATATAATGAGATGACATATATCTTTGACTTGCTGCATGAGAAGCATTACTTCGAGGTGCTAATGAGAAAGAAGCTTGATACGGTGAGTGCAGTGTACTTTTTCCCCAGAGCAAGAGTTCTAATCATTGCATGAAAAGGGCAGCAGTTGGGATTCAGATATTATTGTTGGAAAACAAACTGGATTTTTAGAAGGATGATTCTGAAACTGTCCGTGTCGGCAAGATGTTGTTTTACAGAACAGAAAATCCTTCCCATGAAGTCTCAGTCTTAATTTGTAGCCTCCTCATAATTGCTCTTGCCCTGTTAGAAAATAACCATCCCAGTCTCCTTGCATTTACACCCCGGAATGCCCATGCTACCCCAACATCTTAAATCTCAAACCCTTTTTAACTCAATTGTTTAATAGCAGTGCTGACCTGCTAACCTGTTCAAACCTTTCACACTCCTCAGTGTTTCTGAATCTTGCTCCTAATAAATTATATTTCACTTGCACAATATCAGATTTACTTAATTCTCTTAGCTACTGGCCTGAGAGTTGTAGTTGGCAGGCCTTGTTCTAAATTCCCTAATGAATGCATCTTTTCTTGTTTGGCAGAGTGGGACACTCAAGACAGCCCTGCTTGACTACATCAAACGTTGCCGTCCAGGGGATAGTGAGAAGCACAACATGATTGCACTATGCTTCAGCATGTGCCGCGAGATAGGGGAGAATCATGAAGCAGCAGCCAATATTCAACTGAAGCTCATTGATTCTCAGCCATGGGGTAAGCTATCATCTGCCTAGGCAGAGCAGCAGTAAACCGGAGCAAGAATTTGTGGAAGGTTTGAAGAGTTCTGCCTCAGATGGAGGAAGATATCCAAGGAGCGGCACATTTGCCAATAGGGCAGTATCTGTAGAATCTTCACACTTTCACTGTGGAGCATTGCCTTCTCAGGTTCTACCAAGGAAGCGAAGAAGTCAAATAAAGCAAAACTGAACTTCTACATCTTCCTCTCTTTCTTTTCCCCAGTTTTTTCATCTACAGTACCAATTTATGAATCAGTTTGAAGAATTTGGGTTCGATTTTTAGATGCTAGCTAACTTGGATTACAAATGGGTGAAAGGGGCAGGGGTTTGATAGCTTGAAACAACTAGGAAAAATGTACTGAAGTTTTCCTTAACTCAGAGGGAATCTGTTATTCTTCAGTGTGGCCTCTATCAATGCACACAAAAGGGTTAAATCAGCACCTGCGCTGGACCTCTCGGAATCTTCTCGAGCTTTTAATAGAAAAGTAACAAAGTTTTATGTAGCCTGTATTGTGCATGCTCCACCCGCCGAAGCCTCAGTTCCATTTTTCCGCCAAGCAGTTTGGAACCTCTCACTTCGAGCTTGTTATTATACTGTTTTTTTCAACTGATTTTTATGGCTCTCGAACTTGGAATTTCCTCTGACTACGCTGTCTTCAGTTGCCCCAACCTTGGACTGTTTGCCTGGTCTCTCCTATTGCATTTTCTCCACTAACTTGGTTGCTTCGGATTTTCCCTCCTCTTCACCTCATTGTGCGACATTTAAGGTAGAAAGATTCCTTTCTATACCAGCTTATGTCATGCTCCGGATCCTTTAGTCGGTGCGTTGTTTGTTCTAGGAAGCTTCCTTTTCATGACGGCCATGATCACTGTCTTTTTTGCTTAGGGGAGTCCCACCACACCCAATCCTATATACATTGTAAAGGTTTTACTAAAGCTGCATTAAAAGCTAGACAGCAGAGACTTAAGTATCACCTTTGGGATACCACTCTCTCTTCATCTAAGCCATCAGAAATGGAAATTGCTGCAACCCCTCGATCTGAGACCTGAAATGGCTCACCTCAATCTTCCCTCAGTAAAGCCTCTGATAAACCAACGAAAAAGTCCATTGCTGTGAAGAAATTGGCATCGAAGGCGACCACGGCTTCCTCTTCCAAGCCTGTTAAACAAACAAAAATGAAGGCTGCAGTTAAAGCCAAGGACAATCATAAACAGTTGCCTCTGGTCTCTGAGTTGCTTCCTTTTCCTATTCTTGAAGACTCCTCAATAGACCGAGAGTCCTTCTTGGAGGCAGCCCCTTCGCTCGCTCCTAGACAGGCTGAGCCATTACCACCTGAAGGCGTCTCCTCTCCGACGCTGAGCCAGCTTGCATGTGCTACTGCAGGTTTGGCTTCTGCCCCTCACAGCCCTGTGTCAACGGGGCAGGCATCTTTGGCTCCATCAGTATATTCCGTTGCTTCGAAACCAAACTCTCCGCCTCGAAAGTGACCAGTCAAGACCAAACATATTTCTCCGGATCGGCATTGATCTCCTCAATGTGAGGTGGTGGTACTCCCTCGGTCATCTCGATGCCAACATAGAGAGAGATCCGACCATTACGAGCCGAGGCGTAAGAAACATCGCCGTTGACACGGAGGAGACTACCCTTCTTCTGACACCTCCTCGACGTCGAGCGAGAGGCATAGAAGAAGGAAGAGGGTGAAATATGTATACGCTTTTTCCACCTCTTCTTCTCTATCAACGTTCCCATGCAGACATCAACGTTGAAACCAGCTCAACATCGACAAGAGAAAGGGCATCACTAGGGATACAAGAAAGCATCCGGCTGAGTCAGCTCCTCCGTTTTCAGTGTCGACTGTCAGGCGATCTTCTCAGCAGACTGCTTCTTCTTCCCACAACGCTGAGAAATATTCACACAGGAAGCTCCATCATACTTTGACCTCAGATCAAGATAACATGTTTTCAGCTGACTCCTCTGCTCCTGAGAACGATGTCCCTCAAGAGCCATTGGTGGAAGAATTACCAGAGGGAGAGGTAGTTGAAACTGATGCTGCTGACAACCATGCTTCCTCTCCCGTTCCCTCTGAGGACTTTTCATCATATGCCCAGATGCTTTCAAGACTGGCAAAACCCCTCAAAATAGACATTGACCAACCTGTTCCACCTACAGAGGACCTCATATTTGGGGACATAAACCAAGAAAGATCTCCACCACTTAGCCCAACATTTTTACCATTATTAAGGACACTTGGAACCAGCCATCCACCTCGGCTCCTATGTCTAGACGCACAGAGAATTTGTACCGCGTCCATGGGGATGACACCAATTTTCTTCTCAAACACCCTATCCCCAACTCTCTGATAGTTGAAACTAGCTGCTCAAGACCAACTGGAAAATCCCATGTAACTTGAATAAACAAGGAGGGCAGAAAATTAGAGGTACTCAGAAGGAAAATTTATTCACTTATCTCATTCCTCCTCCGTGTCACAAATTACCAAACAGCCTTGGGGGCTTACCAAAAACAGCTTTGGCTTCAGATTTTACCAGCACTTAAATTGGTTCCTGAGGACATAAGACAAGGTTTCCTAAATACATATGAAGAAGCCCAAACCGTATCAAAACACCAGAGGTTCTCTACCAGGCATGCAACTGAAGCTGCATCCAAAATCCTTATGTCAGCTGTCACCCTACGTAGACACGCATGGCTCAGGGCAGCTAACATAATGGAAGATGTTAAGACACAGGTAGAAAACGTGCCTTTTGACGCCAAGGGCCTCTTCAATGAAAAAACTGATGGAAATCTGGAAGAGCTGCGCAAAATGAAGAAAACAGCCAAGTTTTACTCCATCCAACCTCAGCTAAGTACAATAAATACCAGTGGCGCAAACTGTACTCTCAATATTCTCAATCTGCACAACAGTACAAGTCCTTCAAGAACTTACCTCAACACAGATCTTCACAAGCCTCTTCTTCAACTTCCAACTACCATCCTCAGTCGACTCAGCATAGACAGTCTTACAAGCCACCTACCAAAAAGTCCAAACAGTACCTTTGACTCCCTCATCACACCATTTGGACAGCATCTCACAACAAGACTACAATGCTTTCTACAAAATTGGATGGTCATCACAAAAGATTCTTGGGTCTTAAAAATTATACAATTCGGTTACCAGCTGGAATTTATAGAATATCCTCCTCTAGAGCAGATCAAGCATACATCCTTTGATCCTGCTCTAGAAGAAGAAGTTCTGTCTCTTCTAAAGAAGCACGCCATTCAAAGAGTCCCCACAAGAGACTTAAAAAACGGGTTTTACTCCCGTTACTTCGCCGTCCCGAGAAAAGACGGGGGAATCAGGCCATTCTGGATTTAAGGACACTAAACACTTACCTTCATCCGAAACGCTTCCGAATGGTGACACTGGACACCATAATTCACCTGTTGAAGAAGAACAATTGATTTGTAGTGATAGACCTAAAGGATGCTTATTTTCATGTTACCATCCATCCCAACCACAGAAAATACCTCCGGTTCATATTTCAGAACACCATTTACCAGTTTCTAGCCCTCCCAATCGGGCTCTCAACAGCTCCAAGAACGTTTACAAAATGCATGGCACCGGTGGCTGCTTACCTGCGTCTACACAAAATCCAAGTCTATCCTTACATAGACGATTGGCTGGTTGTCTCCCCATCGAGGCACCAGGCTCCAAAAGACACAAAATTCATACTTTGTGTTCTCTGGAACCTAGGCTTGTCAATCAATGTAAAAAAGTCACATCTCACGCCATCCCAAGTAGTAGACTACATTGGTGCCAGGTTAGACACCACCAAGGGTCGGATTTTTCTGCCCACAGAAAGAATAATGAAAATACAGAAGGCTGTCTGGAAATTTCGACCAAGGGCACTTGTCTCTGCGAAACATGTACAACATCTGTTAGGCCTCATGGCATCCACGACTCCAGCTCTAGCGCATGCCCACTTGAAGATGAGAACCCTCCGATTTTGTTTCTTGGCTCTTTTCAATCCTATGAAAGATCACCAAGGAAGGCGTCTTCATGTATCACCAGAACTGGGTCAACAGCTCCAGTGGTGGAACTTCTCCCCTCATCTGTTGATAGGGCGCCCCTTCGAACCTCTTCAGCTCACAATACAGGTGACAACAGATGTGAGCTCAACAGGATTGCAGCCAACACCGAGTACATGCCCTATGGTCCACTCAGGAGCGAAATCTCCACATCAGCCATCTGGAGATCATAGCAGTCCTGAAAGCATTTTTCCCACTGATACAAGGTCGTGGTGTTCAAGTTCCCACTGATACAGGGTCGTGGTGTTCAAGTGGTCACAGACAACACCATGACCATGTATTACATCAACAAACAGGGAGGAATTCGCTCCGGATCGCTCCTGTTGCTGGCTGTGCACCTTTGGGAATGTGCTACCAGCACCACATCTTTCCAGTGGCGATACATGTCTCCACAACAGACAATGTGTTGGCAGATGAGCTGAGCCGGATGACAAGCCAAACCCACGAATGGGAATTAAACAACAGAGTTTTCAGCTCACTATGTCATCGATGGGGAACTCCCATAATGGACATGTTTGCTACTCATCACAACAAAAAATGCAGTCGGTATGCCTCGAGAGCGGGGCACGGAAGAACTCTCTCAGGGATGCATTCATGATACCTTGGACCTTCGGCCTACTTTACCTGTTCCCACCATTTCCACTAATACAAAGGACTCTGATAAGGATCCGCCAGATGAGGATGGAGGCAATACGCATTGCACCTTTCTGGCCTCACCAACCCTGGTTTGCAACGCTTCTGACGATGGCTTCAGACTTCATAAAGTTACCTCTCCTGCCGAACCTCCTGACACAGGATGCAGGCAAGATGTACCATCCAGACACAGAGACCATGCACCTGACAGCATGGAGGATCTCCCTGAGATCAAGGAGGTTTTAGATAAGGCTAGGAAGCCCTCCACCTCCCTCCTGTATACCTACAAATGGAAGAACTTTTTGAAATTTGCTGAAACTAGGCACCTCATCCCCCCCCCTGTTTCATTGTCTACTCTACTACAATACCTGCGATACTTGTTTGATCACAATTTGACCATTTCTACCATAAAGGTTTACATTGCAGCAATTGTATCATTTCAACCTCGAGAGTCAAGTTCATCCCGACTGTTTTCTCACCCTACTCTGAAATCTTTTCTTAAAGGTTCTTACTAACTTAAATCACGCTTCCTCAGTGGTCCTTCCAACTGGTACTACATGCTCTCATGCGTCCACCCTTTGAACTTATGGCCACATGCAATCTTTGTTTATTGTCCTTGAAGTCACTGTTTTTGGTGGCCATCACATCGGATTGAAGAGCAAGTGAACTTGCTGCTCTTAAATCTGACTAACTGTTCTTGCAGTTTTTTAAAGACAAGGTAGTCTTGCACCCAGACATTTCATTTCTACCTAAGGTAGTCACAGACTTTCATCTCAACCAGCTGTTGATACTACCAACCCTTTTTCCTGATCCTGTAACTGACACTGAGCGCATGCTCCATACCCTTGATGATAGAAGGGCACTAGCATTTTATGTCTCTCGGACTGCGGAATTCTGATCGTCTAATAGACAGTTCTTATGCTTCTATGGACAGAAGAAGGGCTCTCCTGCATCATCTTCAATGCTCTCCAGATGGCTTGTCACCACCATTTCTTTTTCTTAATAAACATTTTATTAGTTTTTCAATCTATCTACATTGTTTTGTGCTTGTCAAACATCGTGTTACGTTACATGCTTACAATTATTTGTTTTTAACATCTCAGTGTCTTCCCGGTTATCCCCCCAAATTCCAAACATCTTTCAAACATTCAAACCATTCATATAAAATTTTTAGTATATAATATGACTACTATCATAATATTACTCTCATATTATATAAAATTCTCAAGGTCTTCTAATAACATTCTTATTGAAAGTGGTTCCAGATCCATGACCCAGCTTTATATCTAGTTTAGTTTACCTAAAATAAAAAACCACCATATTACATCTTTACCCTGATTAGGGCTCCATTATTTCAATTTAGTTTTCCTTTTTAATATACAGAATATACCCTTTTACAGTTCCAGATGATAAATATAAACATGTTTTCAATACTAAGGGGCCCTTCCTTGTTTTCCCTTTTTTCATCTTTCTAGGTAATTCCCTCTCTAATTTCCGTTTTCTCATTTAACATGTCTCTAAGCATTCTGTCATCTTTCATGTCCTCTGAAACCATTTTGTAGATCTGATTTATGTCCACTAACTCTTTATGTACTTGGTCTATCTTCAATGAGTCTTCCAGGCTTTTTTTGGTTAATTTTGCTGTTTTTTTCCCCCTTTGTCTTCCCCTGGTACTCTCCTCTGGTCCAAGACTGATGTTTCTCTTAGATTAACTTCCTCCAGCTGCTGATGGCATACATCATCTGAGATACTCCCATTTCCTTCTTTGTTGTTCCCTGTTGCTTGCTTGACTATAGTTCTGATGTTGATTAGATAATTTTGCCTCTTGATAATGAGATCTCACTGTTTCTAATATTGTTTGAAGGGTAGATTTTATTTCATTCCAAAATTGTCCTTGTTGTGCCATTCTGTTTCAG